AAAGGCGCACACAATCCATACGAAGAGAATGTATGTGAAAATTAGTTTGTAATATGAGCAGTTCCCGAGAAATGAGAAATGGGCAATTTTGCATGAGTGACTTTTTTACGCTAGTTTGCCTGTAAAAGAGTCAATTATTATTGGATTTCCATAAAAGTGACACCATTTGATGCGTAATGTATGGTGGCCCATGGTCGCAATAGCGTCTTTTGGGTTATTTTTGGTATTGCATTTAAAATAATAAAAATATTAGTACAAAAAAAAAAAATAAACATTTTTTTTTTTTTACAAAATAAAAAAAAATAATCTTTTAAAATTTAAAAAAAAAAATCTTTTTAAAAATTTAAAAAAAATAAAAATCTTTTTAAAAAATTAAAAAAAAAAAAATCTTTTTAAAATGAAAAAAAAATAATCTATATATATAAAAAAAAAATAATAAAATATATTTAAAAAAAAATAAAAAATAAATAATATTAAAAAAAAAAATTAAATGAAAAAAAAAAATTGAAAAAGAAAAGATAAAAAATAATTCCCGACGTGGCCCATCGTCGCAATAGTGTCTTGAGTATCCAGACCCAGTATATAGCTATCATTAGACTAGAGCGACCAGAAACATTTTGTGGCCCATTGTTGCAGTAGTATCTCGATTATTATGTGTGGGATTTATGAAGAACGTATAAACTCGAACGACAAGAAACGAATCTGTAGTTATCTCACGTCAACATAATTGTAGATACTTCAATTTTGATTAGCTAAGCACTAAAATAAATCTAATATTATCTATTATCCAATCAAATACTAAAATCTGAATTTTGTCTTAGTAAAACAGGCCCCAGACGAAGTCCACGTAGGCTATCATGCTCTATTTTGTCTTTGAAATTGATGTTGTCCGCCATCGCACCTCTTACCCGTTCCTGTGGTCGTAGCGGGGGACTAGCGATCACCTCAGGGAGAGCAGGGGTTTCACAAAAACTGAAGCTAAAATCACTAACATAGATTTTAAAATCAAAGTGAAATTTTAAATTTATGCGTTTCACGAAGATCGATTGTAACTTAAAATTTAATTTTAATAGATTTTAGTTAAAATTACTTGTGCCTTGATGTGAGGTAACTATAGACTGGTTTCTTGTCGCTCGAGTCTATACCATACGTTCTTCATAGATCCCACACAGGATAATCTGAACGACATACCCACGATGTTTGACAGGTCAGGTCACACTACTCCTTGTCACGTACAACCGGGGATTCGAAATCACGCCAGTTGACTCAATGACGGGCTTTATGATATGACAGGCTTTATGATACAGCGCGCACGTGCTAACCATTCGCCCCCCCCCCCCGGCTACTTAGTAGTAGTAGGCCTATACTTCGAGGATTGAAATTCGACCTCAGGGAGACCAAGTGTTTTAAAAACATTACATAAGCCTTTTGAGGGGAGAATAGGCCTTGCGCACTAGTAGGCCGAATGGTGTCATTAAAGTCAATGACTTCAAACGTCATTATGTATGTAGGCCTAGTTCTAGTTAGACTGGATAAACTAGTCTAAATGACGCTAGACTTATATAGTCTATTAATTATACATTTATATTGACTTGCATATGTATAAATACATATATCCACGTCCATAGACGTCATGGGTGGAAAAATTGTGTTTCACGTGTTGATGTCTGTTAACCTTTTTCCTTTCGGAAGGGGAGATAACTACAAACTCGTTTTTCTTGTCGGTCGAGTTATGCCACATAGGATAATCGAGACACTATAGCAACAATGGGCCACGAGGTATTTCTGGTCACTCGAGTCGAATGATAGCTGTCGTAGGCTGATTTTATACTGAGTCTGGATAATCAAGACACTATTACGACGATGGGCCACGTGCAGAATTCTTTTTTTGATTTTTTCTATTTCACTTATTTTTTTTTTTAATTAAAATGTTATTTTTTTTATAGATTTTTTTAATCTTAAATATTTTATTAATTTTTTTATATAGATTTTTTTTTTATTTTAAAAAGATTTTTTTTTTTCTTAAATTTTAAAAAGATTTTTTTTTTTTTTTGTAAAACAAAAGAATAAAAAAGTTTCTTTTTTTTACTTTTATTTTTTATGATTTTAAATGAAATACAAAAAATAACCCCAAAAACGCTTTTGCGACCATGGGCCACCATAGTAATGTCAATATTAACTAGGCCAAGCCAATTTAACATTTTCAATGTCACCGGAAATGACGTAATTTGGGCAAAAACTGTATTTAGAGCCATTAAAACCAATAATTTATTCAAATGAGTCGTATTTGTTATTTGTTTAAGAACCTGCCTTAGATCTAGTTTCGAGAAGGAAACTTCGTTCTCGAATTATTGAACAGTGTGAACTATAAGAATCACAACTCTTCGAGGATCGTATCGGATCAACTCTTCGAGGATAATATCTTGCAACGTAACTTCATATGAAGGCCAAACATTAAATTTGCCTATCTGATATAAATCGTACGTTTCAGAAATTTATTGATGTCTTGTCCAGAGTCTACGCAGAATAGATATCGCAAAAATATTTATGTTGTACAAGAAAACCATTTCTATGTTATTTTAAAGTCATTCATTCATTATACATTATAAGAAATGCCGGACGCTTACAAAATATGGGCACTGTATTGTAAATAGCTGAGTCAATCCATCTATAAACAATACTGTAAATTGTTACGTTCGTGTATAATTACTGATTCACTTACTTAATTGTTACGTTCGTGTATAATTACTGATTCACTTTCTTAATTTTTTGGATAAAATTTCGTGTATTGGTCTGATCATTATAAAGCTTCCGCCGCTTCAGGCCTAGGTCTCTAGAGATAGGGGGTATCCGTCTTGCCCATACCCGTACCATCGGCTATATTTAATTTCAAAGATAGGGTACTTTCAAGGTGATGGGCGACACCTATCAGTGGTTTCCATACTATGTCTCAGAGACATGGAGCAACATAAATTGGTCATGATGCTTGAATAGTCGAAGACATATACTATCATCACCTACCATCAGTATATCACGCAGTCCCTATTTTGGCCTGGAAAAATGACTCTAAATATGCCTAAATTTTGACTCAAAATCGGTGAAAATAGGCTGAAAATCGTTATAGGACCATACCTCCCGAATAGTTAATTTTTGAGATCGGCCCTTTTGGTCAACGAGTAGTCTAGTCGGACTGATTAATCACTGTGAATATGGATCCGAAGTGCCGACCCCCCACCTTATCACTTTTGCAGGATTTTGCATGGTTTTCTCGTGGAGTGACACTTAAGCCTATATCATTTGATGTCCCTGTATAGTTTTCTTTGTCTTCTGTCTGTGTAGGGGTCTTTTAAACAAACTAATTTGCATAGCTTTAAGCCGTAAATAAAATTAAAAGCGTCGACACTTGATTGGCACTGATCTGACTGCATTGTTAAATGTATAAACCTCTATTTCAAGCTTTCTACTAATAAACCTATTGGCACCTCAAAGATTATAATAGTACAGTCAAGACCATTCTTGCTTAGGGCAATCACTTTAAGGGGTTTAAATCAAAACAATGAATAGGTAATCCACTAGTAACATAAATGCTGATTGGTTAATCAAATGTCTGATGTCATAGATGTCTGATGTCATAGGGTCAAAAGCCACTTGTATGACCTCTGACCCGACGCAGCCTATTGCTACAATCAGTCAGATGTACATGTAGTGCCATAGAAAGTATAAAAAAAAAACAAAGGAAATATAGATCGGAATTTTAAAAAGATTGTAAACTGATAGGTTGCCAGGCAACGAAAGATAAGCCCACAACAGGTAAATCGTCCGGGCAGTCAACAAGTGCTGTCGCATATTTTTACTTTTTTCAGTAATGGTAATGAAACATTTATAATACACTAAAATCTGATTAAGAGTAACAAGTCGTGAAGTACTATGCTAACGTTTAGTATACAAAACTTTTAATATCGTGGATTTAGCTCAAGTCCTAAAAATTCATTGAAAATCAATATACAATGTACTTGTTCGTATCAAGATCTTTAACTCTGTGTATCAATCTGAAGTCAATCGGATGATAAATTTAGACTCTAAAGCGTCACAAGATTTTTCAAAGTGATAAAGGACCAGTAATTATCAGAAATCATTGAAAATCAGTACAATTCTTCGTCTCATGACCTAAAACACTGTCTATAAATTTAAAATCAATCGGATATTAAATTTAGCCTCTACAGCGCCCACAAGATTTTTTGAAGTGATCAAGGGCCAAAACTCTGGCATTAATTATCGGAAATCGCTGAAAATCAATAGGCTTCTTCGGCTCAAGACCTTAAGTTAAACACTGTGTATAAAAGTCAATCGGATATTAACTTTAGCCTCTAAAGCATACACAAGATTTTTTGAAGTGATCAAGGGCCATAACTCTGGCAGTAATTATCCAAAATCGCTGAAAATCAATAGGCTTCTTCATATCATGAACTTAAACACTGTGTATAAATTTAAAGTCAATCGGATATAAACTTTAGCCTCTAGAGCTTGCCTATTTAATTCAAACTCACAAGGGTTCTTTATGTGCACACAAATAACTGCTGTTACAGGCCTTTGAGAAATAACAACAAAGGGGGGGAAAAAAAGCTGAAAAACACAAACTTTAATAACCAAACCCAAGCCCTCACTGAGTCATACAGCATACCTTTTTTCCGAAAAACTTTGTTCATATTATGCTTCACCCTGTGTTCTGTTCACTGGTTACCATGCCATTCCAAAACCCTTCCCTCACACCCACCCAACCACCCCTCCCTCCCTCCCTCCCTCCCTTTCAGATAGTACACATTTGTTTTACCCTCTTTGAAATGTTGCAGTATATTGCCATGACAGCTTTCCATCCTAACATGGAGTATTGTATCAGTATTCAGTAGTATAGATCACATTACATTTTCAGATAATATAGCACAATGTAGGGAACCTCAATACTTGTAAATTGAGTACAGAAATAAATTGACAGTATCATATTCATTTCATTTATTTTATTACAATTACAAAAAGATACATCTGAAAGATACAAGTATTAACCCAAATTGATAAGAGATTCACATACCGAAAAGTGATCCCAAGAATTAATTCAAATTCACATAAATGTACTATTTATTTTGAAGAAAAGTTTACAATTCGTTTTTATTGCTTTCATGAATATGAATATGGATATAGATATATAATTAAAAGTTGTGACTTTGATCTAAGAACAAAACAAGACATCATAATCTATTTGGTTGATGACTGAAATGTCTAATGATTATCATGAGAACTTCATACGTACATGGTTTGTGCAGCATTTTTTATATAGAACTGGAATAGGATTTCCAAATGTAAAAACAACATATTATGAGTAACTTTCTAAGACTGCAGGTACATGTATTGTAATTTATAACATTCATTTTACAATCAAGTTCAGGTTAGTTTTTTGGGTTGTTTACTTCAGTAAAAAAAAAACCCAGCATATTTAACCAATTTAATACATTTATTTATAGATTGCCCATGTCATAGACTTACAGTTTGCAATTCAAAAGATGCATTTTGTTGCTATAATAGTTTAAAATAGAAAATGAAAAATTTCAGTAAAATCCTTTTATTCTGAGAAGGCAGATTTAACTCTCGCATAATGCATTTTTAAGGCATGATATTATGCATTATTGCATATCTTAGAAGGTTTTGGAAGTGGAACATTCAGTTAAGATTGCCCTCTGTTTCTGGGTCATTACAGTATCTACCGTAGAAAAGATCTATACAATATAGTCCATGGATCAGGGTAGTTAATAATAAGGGTATCCATCACAATTTGATGGGACATGATCTCAAATTTTGGACTGAAGTGTATAAGCCTACATATAAATAAACTTTGGTTATTTTCTTTTAGTAACTGCTTTAGGTTTGGTTGGTTTCTTTCCTCCTGAAAAAAGATTAGTTATCATTTCTGACATATCCGGCATATTTTGTTTGGCATTTAAGGCGTTCATTTGTGATTGCATTTCCTTCTGTGTATCTGGGTCTGCAGTATTAAGCAACTTTGGTAAAACCATAATGAGTAGTAGAGGGAGGATCATGGTTAAAACCATTGGATTGAACAAAAAGTCTGTTATACGCCATTGTTCTCTTGCTTGGAAATAATTAGCTTTGCCCCTTTCTCTAAATTCCAATGGATATGGCAATGTTTTAACAACATTTGGTTGTAAATAGTTCACCCTTCGGGCTCTTATTTTTCCCTTTGATGTAATATCTACTCTCGCTGCTTCAAATATAAAAGATGGGTTGCTAACTTCAACCACAAACGATCCTGAAGGTAGCCCATTCACAACAAAACTTCCATCAGATCTAAGAAAAGCAACGTATTCGCCACCATCAATTAGAATTCTTGTGTTGGGTAACCAATTTTTATCTCGAGTTGAGAAAACCTCAATTCGGCCTTCCATATTAAAAATATTCACATTTGTAGGTTCAATAATATCTTGGGTGTTGACAACAAGAGTAACACATGCAATGAAAATCACTAAAACGAACGTTTGGTACATAAAATCGAACATTTTGAGGAATGTTTTACGGATTTCGTGAGAGATATATACCGGAAGTTCTAAAAGCCGGACTTGATTACATGAAAGTGCATGCTCGTATAACAAATACGGCGAACTTGATTAAGAATATTTATATTCTGGCACGTAGAAAACCCACGTACAACCCACGCCTGTTGACTCAATGACTCAATGACAGACCCTATAATACAGCGCGCACCTACTAACCATTTAGCCAGCCTCAAAAGTGGTACATGTCCTCTTGTGGTATGTGAATGTAGGCTTTGGAAATGATTATTGTTTATTTTACACCAATTGAGACATTTTGGCGTTTCCTCTGGGAATTCATCAAACATTGGTGGGCTGGTTTGGTCTGGTCTGGTCTTTTGGCACAGGTATTTTATATTGCACTTACTTTTCCAAATAACAGGATACTCAATTACTCATGGCCACTGAGTTCATCTATCCGACAATATATTTACCTATGCTATGTTCAGATAGCTATTTACTCTTGAAGGAACTATTATTGGCACAGTTAGGAAGACATTGGCTTTGTTAGCTGGAGGTCCTGTGTTTGATCCCTGTGTTGGCAGACCGTGAAAGTTAAAGGAGCTAAATCGATAACATTTGGGATCTAGAAATTGACAAAAGTGGGTCGCAATGCATATAATACTGGAATATGAATGTATATAAACTGGTTTACATTCAATGGTTTCCGTTTTTACTATAATTTCAAATCAGTTATGTTCGGCGAAATAACCTAGCAGTCTCAAGCGAGTGCAAATTTCTAACGTCTGGTTATTCCAGGTTACATACATTATGGTACACGATTCGTGTACCAATGGTAAAAAATGTTTATTTTGTCTTAAATATTGGATATCAAAAGCCCATCTTTTCCCGGTAAGATCACAACATGAATGTTGATTTAATTTGAGAAATAAATCATGTTTTCAATGTTGAAGATTTTGGATGACATTGAGTTAGAGACTTAGCTACTTTAATGGGGAATTTTCACACATGGTTACTCATCCTTGTCAGTGGTGCAGGATGGAGGGCTTGGCAAAGGACAACATATAGTCCTTCGGATGGTAGAAATAAATGTACATAAAGGCATGCATGTAAAAGACCCCTTGACAGTTGGAATTTGATATAAGAGCAGGCTGTACTTTACTGTAGTGGCGCAGCCCAGCCCAGCCCAGCCAAAATTTCTATTATAGTACACTGTACAGCATATGCCCCATCTGCATTAGCCCCGTAGGAGCAGAGCAGAGCACCTTATTTCATTAACTCTTGACTAACAACTAAAAACTAGACTATGGTAATCATTTGCAAAAGAACTGGTTTTATTTTATTTTATCAGAAAATACAATGGAGTGTTGTTTACACATTTCAATGTATAATTTTTTTTATTGGGCTTTAAACTGCCCTTAAAGTGAGAATTTGATATTTTTCTAAGAAAGTCAAAACATAATTATTTCATGTCTTTGGCTCAATACAGTGCATGGACCAGCTCCAGAAAAGGGGCTAAATTTTGGATGTTTGTGTTGTGTCCAGTTCACTGACATTTAATTGACTGGTATGCTAATCTAAACAACATGTCCGACTTGATAGTATTATTACCCTTATATGTTGACAACTATAAACCTGCCTGCTATTGGGAGTATCAAATGACATCATTCATTATAATTGGTATCATTTCTGGGGAATCAGTTATTTATTTATTCCAAAAACCTAGTTTTATCATTAAAAAGAATGGTAGTGGATGCCAGAATAAAGAATTGACATCTTTCAATAAAGGTGAGCTATTTATAATTATAATTATATTCTTTTCTTTCGGAAAACAGAACATATGTATTATGTAGTGTGTATTTTTGTACAGAATTTGCAAATACTTAACTAGATAAAATTTAAATTGCACATTTCATTTCATTTCATTTTAAAATTAAAGATACATTATGGAGATAAGATAAAGAGATGGCAGTTCTCGCTATAATAGTTAAAAACTAGATAGTGTAAAGGTAATTTGCTGAAAATTTCAGTCAAATTGATCCACTATGAGCCGAGAAAGAAGCCGGTGAAATTTTTGCATAGTCTCGGTTATCATTACTAAAATCATTAATATAAACAGCATAGTCTCGATTATCCACTTTTTCTGATTTAATTATCAATAGCCGTTAGCGGCATATAGGAATCTAATCCAGCCTACATCGAAGGCTAGCCTTGACATCGAGAGTTTATTATGGTCTGGATAAGTTAATTAATGTCTAATTGATAATTTAGATAACATTTCAGGCCTAAAGAAAGACTTGTAATAAGCAGATTTTGCTCTTGCATAATGCATGTTTAAAGTAACATTTCTTAAACTGTCATTTTAAATATGGTGAATTAATTTAATGATGAAGTTGAAGTTGATAGATAACAGCTTAAAGGACCTAAGTCCGTAACTCAAAATCCTCCAAAATCTTCGACATCGAATTATTGGTCAATTTAAATCAACATTGATGATGTAAACTTACCGGGAAAAGATGAGCTTCTGATATCCGATATTTAAGATAAAATAAATTTTTTAACATTGGTACACGAATCGTGTACCATAATGCGCTTCAGCCCCAGTTGTATCCAGAGACTCGAGGGACGAGGCTAGACACATTGCACCAAATCAAATGGAGTTATGTAGACTAGAATAACTAGACGCTAGAAATTTGCACTCGATTGAGATTGCTGACTTATTTCGCCAAACATAACTGATTTGAAATTGGAGTAAAAACGGAAACCATTAAATGTAAATCAGTTATATACATTCATATTACAGTATTATATGCGTTGCGACCCACTTTTGTGAATTTCTAGGTACCAAATGTAAGCGATTTAGCTCCTTTAACACTGTTACATATGGAGACTGTCATATAACCAATATTCTAACCAACCCAACCCAATACATAACATTCTTTTTATTCAAGGAAGAACACAGATACCCAGACCAGAGCTGTTATTTTAATTTGAGAGGGCTCATTTCATCTGGTCCTGATTTTTATACCACTACATGTTCTTGTGGATGTATACTGCTGTCGCCACTGTACATTTGTCCGGCAATAATTTGTTTGTGGACACTCAACAGGTCACAATTGTTATCTGATGTTGACAGAACTTGAAATATGGGTATATCTCCCAAAGATCTTGACAAATCTGCCCAGTTTGTCGCGACGCAGGAGCGCCATCACGTAGTGATCTCTAAAACTATTATGGCCACTTCCGCCTTCATTTCTATCGGGTTTGGAGCTCAAAGGACGGCAATAAACTCGCTCTAACTTGACTGAATGAAAAATCTAACACACCTTTCGACTTTGTAGAATAACAATCTATAATTCTAGTGATCTTTTTTTGAAAATCTTATCGGATTCCTGAGAACAGATGTATTTTCTTCATGATCACCATCATTGAAGAATCGATTATAATGTCGTAAATTTTATGTTAATTAGATTGCCATTACCTAGATTTTCCTTTTTCTCACTGTTTTATTGTCGATTTGGGATGATACGAATATTTAGTATATATTAAAGACGTCTCTATTCATTTGACGTTTAAACCTATATAATGTACATGAATTTTAGGTACTATTTTTTTTGCGGATGAATACAGCTGTTATGTATTGTATTCTGTTGTAGACTGTGAAAATTTTGGATCCATGTGTCGACGCTTTAAATCACATGGATCCATTAAACCTTCTAACTGTTTAATTCCATTTTTTTCATTGAAGATTCTTATATTACAAATCTTTCCTTATTTATATCCCAAAGATCTGCGTTCCTAATGTTGATACTTAGGACCGTAACTTGCTGGATTATGACCACTGATTGTACAAAAAAAACGCCCTTTTGTTAGCTTGTTCTGTCCATCTAATGAAGACGGGCATATGCCATACAGTGTGCTATGAGAGAAATTTTTCCCCAGGCAGCTGCACCATGGCTTACTCTTATATCGAATTCCTACTGCCAAGGGATCTTTTACGTGCACGCTAATGTATACCCTGGCAGTGGGTTTTAGTACCATCCAAACGACTTGAGGGCTGTCCTTGTCAGTCCTTCCGTCCGGCACCACTGACAAGGGGAAGCCAGGCCAGAAAATTCCAACGAACTTTCTCGACCAATGTAGGGATCGAACATACGACCTCCAGGCTAGCGAGCCAGTGTCTTACCCACATAGCAACCGTGGCTCTCAACAATTTAAGATACTGATGATCAATAAAAATGTAGACATTTTAGAATGTTTGAGAGCTTTTGTATACAATTTGTTCATGTCTTTGTAAAGTTGTGTATCTTTGTATAATTATGTACATGTATATGTATCTTTCTATTATTTTTATTATATGTACATAACCTTGTAATTTTTTTATGCAATAAAATTTATGTAATATTTCAATAAAATGTTATTTTTATTTATTAAATTTTAGTTTAATTTTTTTTTTCTACATTTAATTTGAATGTGAATTAAAACTCTCATATAGAAACTGATCCAAACCCATCTAAATATAGAGCAGTGTAATATGATACTTAGCATGCCCTAAACACCACATCATCTGTATCAGATATTTAAGCTACAACATATTGTCTTTGATGACAGGATTCTCTTCAACAGAACTGTATTGTCTGTGGGGGTCGCATTCCTAAATTTGAGGAAAAATGGCTAATTTCCACCTAGTCCAAGCACTGAATCGGTTATCAACTCACTATTATACGACCATGGGCATTATTTCCCCACCCTTAAAAATCATTGACACAGGAAATAATAACGCAATTACCTCCCTTGTTTTTCTATTGCCTCCATGCATTAGCCATCTTCAAACGTTGGAATTTGAAGTTGAAAATTATATTTTTGCCAATTTCTCAGCTGACAATAGTGAATTATAGGATTAATAGGATTATTCTTTAACAAGGTAGGACTGTTTATAGATACCATCTATTTTAGGGCTTTATTTTAATACATTTTAAAAATATAACTTAAATATGAAATTGTAACTTTACAAAGAGAATACCGTTGTTACGAGAATTTCATATTTTCTAAGAAAGTCAAAACATAATTATTTCATGTCTTTTGCTCAATAGGTTATCAACTCACTATTATACGACCATGGGCATTATTTCCCACCCTTAAAAATCAGTGACACAGGAAATAATAATGCAATTACCTCCCTTGTTTTCCTATTGCCTCCATGCATTAGCCATCCTCAAATGTTGGAATTTGAAGTTGAAAATGATATTTTTGCCAATTTCTCAGCTGGCAATAGTGAATTATAGGATTAATAGGATTATTCTTTAACATGGTAGGATTGTTTATGGATACCATCTATTTTAAGCTTTATTTTAATAAATTTTAAAAATATAACTCTAAAATATGAAATTGCAACTTTAACCTGTTTGGGGTTGGCGGTTATAGGGCTGCACCAAGGATGAAATTTGAGGATTATGAGCAGCTGGTGGTGTTGCACTTGCACTACCACTTCAGTCATCTACCTCTGAATGCTGTTTTAAACTAATGGCATTAATGGGCAATTATTTATGGTTAATTATTTCAGTGATATAATTTTTTTTTTAATTAGAAAACGACATTTGTATATATACAATGTACAAATTATATTTAAAGACAAAACAAATCAAAATTCAGTCACATGCAGTAGCTTGAGTTTAAACTTAACACAATTACCAGCCCTGCAAAAGTTTAAAACAGTAAAAGATACATGCGAAAGTTTTTTTTTTTTTTAAATACATGAATACATGCTTGTTTTATTCAGCCTTTTGTTTCTCAGTTATTTTAGTCTTTGGTGACTTCATTTTTTCATTTTTATTCACTTCATTAGGTTGCATAAAATTAGATTTTTGCCAACGAAAAATCAAAAGTGACTGAAAATATTCATTAACATAATGGATTTGAAATATGTCACATATCTTTGACATGAAATGTCCTGAAATGATGGTAAAGCAGTCATGATATTTAGGTAATTCCAAGTCCATTAATTTTAAAATGACAAATCCAATCAGGCATAAAATGGCCAGAAAAAAGTTGATTTTGGATTTGTTATTTGGGTTTTGTAAATATGATGTTGTTCCTCCATAAACAGCTAACAATATATGGCAACCTAGAGCTATTTCAAATCCAATTGGAGTAACAAGAGTAAGAGTGTAACTTGCCATGGAAATAGTGATAAGCATTGCCGCTCGATATGAACTCCAGCCATGTTTCAAATGTAATCCCCAAATAAACACCAACATAAAAAATGGCAATGTACACCACTGGTCTAACACAGCAAAGACATGTTTCTGAGTTATGATACGCAATGTTTGGATGGCTCCATAAAAGGCAGATGATATATTAAAAACATAAAAAAGGTATGATTCCACTTCTGAAATTAAATTGTTCTCTAAGCTAAGAGTTGTAATTGCACACCAATAAGCACCAACCACAATATATCCTAAATTTATAAAAGTATTCAAAGGCATTTTCATCCAAAGCGGAAAAATTGTTTTGAAATGTTGTTTTTCGGCATAATGTTTCAAACCTAAATCTGTTTTCACATTGTTGAAAATATCCAAATATGTCATTGTTGATGCAAAAACAGCAAATAATGTGACAGAGACAAATGCTTTCCACATAATTATTATTTAAGGTTCCACCCACATACTGAAATATAAAAATGATTAAATTATAAAAAGTATTGTTGGGAAGCTTGATAGTCCTACTACCAGTATAAGAGAGAGAAAGAAAGAAAGAGAGAGACAGAGAGAGAGAGAGAGGAGAGGAGAGGAGAAGAGATGAGATGAGATGGGAAGAAACTGGAGGACCCCGAGAAAACACATGCGGTTGGACAGGTGACCCCTAATCCTTGTGACGTACAACCAGGGAATAGAATCCACGCCAGTTGACAGACCTTACAATACATCGCACTTGCTCTAACTATAATCAGCCATCCAACCTCCCGCACCAGTACAAAGAATTGCCTGTAATAACAGTGCTATTAAGAGGTCCAGGGCTTTAGGTTATATAGAAGACCGAAGAATCAAGTAATCTACTTTATTGTGCTCACTTGGAATTACATATTGGTACAATTTTTGTGAAACATAATTTGGAACTGACATTGCTGTGGAGGGTCACAGACCTAAGCCTCACATGGGACAACGTAAAGTCGTTTGGATGGGACGATAAAACAGGGTGCTGTGTACCAATGGCAGTTGGAATTTCTAATCAATTTCATGGCTACATAGTACAATCCAAGCTGAACTTTGCCTATTTATTATGTGGCTTCTAATTCTATAACAAGTTCCTTTGGAAACTCTTTGTCTGCGATATCACCTTAGGTGGACACGGACTACAACCGAACGAACGAATAATGCGTCTTCATTACCCCGTGGCCCAGTTGGAGCAGAACAGTAGTAGTAGTACTAGTATGGTATTAAATTTTTAACTCTAATTTCAATGATTTACTCTATTATATACTGAGTTCTACTACTAACTACTACTAGTAATACTAGACTGAACACAAAAATGTCCGGACGTAGTATAATCTTGTGGCAACTACTAATTTTTCTGTGAAGCTAAGTTAAAAAAAAATCAATATAGAACAGACCAATAGCCACTAATGATAATGTGTACCGGCATTTACCATCTGAAGTTTGAGTCCAACCTTGTAAGATTTTACATATTATGTGGACTGGAGTCTAGTTTATTTTAGCGACATGATAATCAAGGCTGACATTTGACCTTTGACCTTTCTCGCCGATTGTTGAAAAAATTTTTTTCAAAATAATTAACATGTTAATTGTATTCAATGGTGTATGGATAAGAATGAAATAAATATCACAGGTTAAACGGCAGTGAAATAAAAAATAATTAATATAAAAATGGTAGTCGTATCACGTGATATGCAAATATTGTTTTTACGTACGGGCACTTGATTCAATTTTCCCACAATGCACTTTGAAACACAAATATGGCTGCTCCCATACTGAAATGGAAGCGGGTAACAAATTCAACAGGACCGTGTCCAAGACCTCGGCATGGTCATCGTGCAGTTGCAATCAAGGATTTAATGATAGTATTTGGAGGTGGCAATGAAGGAATTGTCGACGAACTTCATGTTTACAATACAAGTAAGTCAACTGTCATCCCTGGCACTGAAACACAAAATGGCGTCTTTTTGTTATGGCTTGAGGTAGAAAAACTGGCGCGAGTTAATATCCCCTTATAAAGTGTTATTTCCCCACAGCTCGGATGAATTGAGAATCTCTGTTTTATTTATTGTCTATTTTTCGAAATTTTATTTAATTTTCAATGAACTGTCAAAATCTCTTCAATGGTCATAACAAAATGGCGGCGCCCAACATCGACTGTCTACTGTAATGGAGGCCACCTACGCTAGTCTAGGTTCCTCCACTCTTCGGTAGAAAAATGAACCTATCAAAATCGTATTTAAATTAAGCCGACAGGAATTATATAGTTGTTTAAAGAAATAATTAGTTGCCCTCATTTTTGTGTTAAGAATGTAAAAGAGAATTAATAAAACTAAATCATTTTTTTTATCGGCGTTCTTTAATAATATGGCCGCCAGACCAGGCACTCCAACGAATTATTATTCCGTTGACGCGAGATTTTGTAAAGTACAATTAATTATCCATACCACACCAAAAGAAATTTACAGATTTTTGAGTCATTTGGATGGCTTTTATGGACGAAAGTTTATATTCGGAAAAACAAGTTTCTGTGCAGTTCAATAAATATAATTAGATCGGACAAATACTACTAGTATGGAAATAAAATACTGCAGTGCCCCCTGTTTGCAACTGTCAATATATATTGGAAGATTACTCTTGGCATATGACTTAAATTATCCCCCTTTGTTTCTTCTGTATTACTTGTTATTTAAAATGTTTTCTTACAATTATTTAAAAGCTACCAATCAGTGGTTTGTACCAGCAGTCAGAGGAGATATTCCACCAGGGTGTGCAGCATATGGATTTGTTTGTGATGGAACACGTATACTTGTTTTTGGAGGAATGGTGGAATATGGAAAATATTCTAATGAATTATATGAATTACAGGCTAGCCGATGGGAATGGAAACGGTTAAAACCAAAGCCACCTAAAAATCACACAATTCCATGTCCACGTTTAGGTAACTAGATCTAGATCTTGATTATGATTTTTTTGGGTTGTAATTTTGCTGATAACCATTACTTCTGGTTTACCAATAAAGACCTGCCTAGATGTTGGACACTATCCACTAACGAAACCATAATGCTATGCACGTATATAAACTTTATGTAAACCTAACCCTCTTTTTAATGCTCTTACACGGGGGACGGATGGCCAGATGGTTATCTTGCGCATGCACGCTGCATTATAAGGTCTGTCATTGAGTCAACTGGTGTGGTTTCAATTAAGTGGTTGTATGTGACAAGGAGTAGGGTCACCTGTTCAATCTCGTGGGTTTTCTCCAGATGCTCCGGTTTCCTCCCACTGCTAATGGCCCCTATGCACAAGCTAATAAGTGAAATAAAATTGAACCATGTTAGTCCCGAAATGTTCTAGTCTGTGTCATGTGGACTCTCTCTCTCCCTCTCTCTCTCTCTCTCTCTCTATCTCTCTAATACTATTTTTTTTAACAAGATTTTTGGTAGAAAGAACAACAATATTAAAGATGTTTAAAGAATGTTTTGTTACTCACTACTGCATTATACAGCATTATTTTATGAAATATTGATTTAGAAATTGTACTAAAGAATTTTTATTTCGTATTATATTGTAGGACACAGCTTCTGTATGTTGGGTAGTAAAGCATATTTATTTGGTGGATTAGCAAATGATAGTGAAGATCCTAAGAACAACATACCAAGGTAGGAATTTAAAAGGAACATTTTCATAATTCTAAAATTGAGGAAAACTGACATCAACATGCTCTGAATAATTTATGACTTAATATGATTTGATGAGCTGAGATAATATGTCATGATAGGAATTGTCAGATAAGATATTTTGCTGTTACAGATTTCAGAATAATATTTTGGCATTTCAGGTATCTGAATGATTTGTATGCATTAGAAATGAAGTCTACATCAAACTCTATGACTTGGGAATATCCAGTTACAAATGGTCAGCCACCACCACCACGTGAATCTCATTCTTGTGTTGGGTATGCTGAAAAAGATGGCAGACATCCAAGACTTTTAATTTATGGTGGTATGAGTGGATGTCGTTTAGGAGATTTGTGGCAGTGTGAGATTGGTAATTATTGTAGATTACTTTGAAAAAAAAAAAAAAATAATTAACCAAGTGCTATGGGTTAAACATTAAAACCATGACTTCTATTATACATTGGCAAATATTTAAAAGATTCAAATAGTGACTAAATTTATAAAAAAATAGCTTGGACAAATTCATTGCGTAGCAACTCACATTACTGATATAACAAAGAATTTTTCTCTGCTTTTAGATACTTATACATGGGTAAAACCAACAGTTCAAGGTGTTCCCCCATTACCAAGAAGTCTCCATACTGCAACTGTTATTGGTAATCGTATGTTTGTTTTTGGCGGCTGGGTACCCTTGGTAATGGATGATGTGAAAGTAGCCACACATGAAAAAGAATGGAAATGTACCAATACCCTAGCTTCTTTAAATCTTGGTGAGAATGAATAATTATTCATTCATTACTGAAGTATTTATATTAACTCTTCAACATAATCATAAACAAAATTTATTGTTTGGTTACGAAAAATAAATTGGTAGCAGCCAGCATATACGACTGAAATGAAAATATATTGTTGGGCTAATTGAAATGCAGATTTGCACATCAATTTTATGAATAGCAGTTGTACTTTGTTTTTTTATTTGGAAATTAAAATTTATTTCAGAATCTAATTCATGGGAACCCTTAGCTATGGAAGTGTTTGAAGATGCATTGCCCAGAGCAAGAGCTGGGCAATGTTCTGTAGCTGTCAATACCAGATTGTATATATGGAGTGGTAGAGATGGATACAGAAAGGCATGGAATAATCAAGTAGGGCATTTGTATTTTTATTCCATTCTTAAAAATTAATGATTGTATCTGGTCAGATAATTCATTTTCAATTTATTTTATTTATACCTTATTACAATATTTGCTTTCTTTATATTTTCAGGTTTGTTTCAAAGATTTATGGTTTTTAGAAACAGGTAAGTTGTCTATTTTGAGTAAAATCTCTGTTCTAAAGAATTTAATAATATATTAAACAATTTTCAGGTGAAATAAAAGTGGAAAGTAGTTTTATGTTGTTTTGTTGCCAGAAAAGGCAAGATTTTATTTTTAGACTGTTAAATTTGTTTTACGTATTTTAGAAAAACCACCAGCACCATCCAGAGTGCAGTTAGTTCGAGCCAGTACCAATACATTAGAAGTATGTTGGGGATCAGTACCAACAGCTGATGCCTACTTGTTACAATTACAGAAATACGATTTACCCCCATCGCAAGCTATGAGTCCAACTGCTGTACCAGCTGGCAGTAGTTTAGCTAAACCTTTAGCTCCTAATCAACCACAAATGATTCGTTCACCAGGAGGAGGTAAGTACTGCCATGCTGTAATTTCCATTTTGGATTAATATATAGCTGTAAGGTGCTATATGCTAATTGTGGAAATTCTCTGGATTTGTATTATATAGGAATATAAATGTTTTTATGCTGATTGTTTAATTGTCTCTTGATCTTTTGATTCAGCAATACGACCATTAGGAGCAGTGTCTATAGGCTCCATTTCTTTCTCCTCACCACAAACGATTAAAGGTATTCAATGTGAGAGCTTAATATATGCATGAATGCCTAGAGTATGCCTTTAAAATGCTATTTGTAAAATTTGACCAAATTGACGTATCCGTATAAAATTTTATTGAAAAATACAACTAATCATGCATGGTATATGTATCATAATGGACAGAATGCATGTTTTCTAAATTGAAATCAGTATGTTTACGCATGTTCTCAAATTGAGATACAGATTTATATATATAATTATTGTTCACTTAAAGATGTATTATGGGAGATTAGATAAAGAGCTGGTAGTTCTCACTATAATAGTTAAAAACTAGATAATGTAAAGGGAATTTGCTGAAAATTTCAGTCCAATTGATCCACTCTGAACCGAAAATTTAGCGATTGAATTTTGGGCCTAGTCGTGATCATCATTACTACAATCCGTACGATAAAAAACATAGTCTCGATTATCCAATTTTTAAATTAATCATGAATAAGCGTTGAGCAGCAGATCAGATCCTAATCCAGTAAATATCGCAGGCTACTGATGACATCCTGAGTTATCGTCTGGATAGGTTAATTAATGTCTGATTAAGAAATTGGATAACATTTCAGGCCTAAAGAAAAGAAAGACCTGCAATAGGCAGATTTATCTCTTGCATAATGTATGTTTAAGTTAGTCTATAAATTCATATATGATGTGCTTTAAAAATAAAAACTTGATAGATACATAGGCTAATGTAACAGCTTGTAATGATACCAAATGACATCATTTGATATCATACATTAAATGTTCCCTTTGACATTATGCATGGTAATACTGACTCTGTGTGTGTGTGTGTGTTTGTGTGATATAATGATATATATATATATGTGTGTGTGTTTGGCATGATAATTGACATATTTTGCCATGGGGTGGAGTGGGGTTGGATTTGGCACTGTTATAGAAAAGATTGTTTTGAAGAAAAGTATAAAATGTCTGAACTGGATTGTATAATGTAATTTCAAATCTTTGCTACTGTACATGGTACAAATATTTATAAAAATGTCCATTTTTAAATATGACTATATTAATTTCACATATTACTTTCTATATTTTGCACCAACTTTGTCATAAGACCATGAATGATTATTTGCCTTCCGGTGTACTGTGACTTTGTGCTACTTACTGCACTGCTAAAACATTATGCTTTCTCTACAAACACAAATAGAAATGTTCCATTTATTTTTTTCTTCCATATTTCAGTGAATGCCACACCACGACAGAAATCACCAGTAACAATCACACCTATTTCTTCAGGATTAAGAGTTGCATCGCCACAAATAATTAGCCTTAGTCAAGGACAGAAGCCTGCAGTGCTACAAGGAGTAAGACACAAAGAAATTTTATATAAACTGTTACTCATTGCTTCAAACTTTGAATAGTTATAGTGTAGAATTAGTGTTAACATCAATCCTTGAAACCGAAATCTAATCACTAATATGTCACTAAACTGTTTACTTTGTTGCATTTACAGCAAACAACAACAGCTGGTGGTCAGATGACTGGAATAGCTGCATTAGCTGCAGCAGCAGCAGCAACACAGAAAATACCAGGGACACCAAACACGCCAGGAACACCACAAACAATACGTACTGTTTCAGGAGTGAAAGTGGTAACACCTACTGTGGTGACACCATCTGGAGTAAGATTTCCCGGTAAAATGCAAGGTAATTAAGTCACTATCTTCACTACTGAAAAGTCTGAAATGGACAATTTAAAAGGAAAACACTTAAAGCCCATAGATGATATTGAGCTCAACACCTATGACTTTTTCATAATGTGACACGCAGTTTCCCATGAAAATGGTAAATTCTTAAATGTTTATTAACTGAGGATAAAGTTAGTAACTAGTAGTAAAGATTGACTCAATATAACACTTTACTGTTAAGGAGAAAATATATCAATTTATTAACTTGTATGTGTCTGCGTATATTGTAGGTGCTACTATTTCCCCTGGAACCCAAACAATCCGAGTTGCTCCACCAGGAACAACTATTCTAAAAACTGGTGGTCATGTTGCAGGTGGAAAACAGATCATAACTGTACATAAAGCTGGAGGATCCATTTCTAGTCATCCTCAGATTGTGACATTAGTCAAAACAACACAAGGCATGACTGTTGCTACAGTGAGTAATGATATGTTTGTAATTTTGTGAAATTAGATGACATAACATTTTGCAAGAAAGAAATTGAAAATGGAATATTATTCTCAGTAATATAATATACTTAAAACTATTTATTTTTCTTCAGAATAAAGGAGCTTTGCCTCAAGGAGCAACTATTGTAAAATTAGTAACATCCCAAGCTGGAGGAACGAAGCCATCTGCTATTATAGCATCAAGTAAACCTGGTCAAACTCCATCAAACATACTTGGTATTAGCAGTGTTCAGCCTACTGTAAGTACTAACATAATATATACTATATTCAGAAACGATACAAAACTGCGGAAATGCACCGCTGTTTTGATTAGAGGTAACCAGTGTATGTTAATAACAGACCAATTGCCTACACATGAACATAAACAGTTCATATTGGGCGGCTTATAGGACGGCCCCATTTCACTCACAAAGTGATACACTGAATGTGAAAATGGACATTTTTGATTTTTGTCTTAGTAATGAGTAATTGCTCCACCAATCCTCAGACATTCAGCAATTCGTCGTGGCTCCTAGTCAACCGTTCAGTCATGATTTGGGGCAATCTGACCCACTCCTCTTGAAGTACCACATCCAATTCCCGCAGTGTTGTTGGTTGACGTTGACGAACACGTCTCCTGATCATGTCCCAGACATGCTCTATAGGGGAAAGGTCAGGACTCATTGCTGGCCAAGGCATATGAACAGTATGGTGACGCTGGAGGTAGTCATTCCTGACACGAGCACGGTGGGCATGGGCATTATCATCTTGAAAGATGAAAAGTCGACCCGCACGTTGAGCAAAGGGCTGAACTATCGGTGCCAGGATGTGGTCACCGTAGTACACACCAGTGACCCTTCCTTGAACAATATGCAAGTTCATTCTGCCCACCCACGCCTGAATCTGTCTTACTGTCTGACGTTAATGTTAGCATGACGCTCATTTACAAGCCTCCAAACGCGAGCATGCCCATCGGTGAAATACAGAGTAAATCTGGTTTCATCTGAGAACATTACACGCGCCGATCGCTGATTACCCCAATTTCTACACTGCCTACACTATTGATGCCTGTTTGCCATGTGCTGGCCAGTTAATGGAAGCACAAAATGCGGTTGTCGCGCATGCAAATGGGCTGCATGTAGCCGATTTCTAATTGTTTGGGGTGTAACTCGGAATTCCTGAAACTTGGTACATGTTTACAGAAAGCTGATTGGCCGTTTCTCCTCGATTGCGCAGGACCTGTGTATGAATGTATCGATCCTGGGCTTGTGTAGTGGCTCTAGGACGACCTGAACGAGGTCTATCATCAACATCGTGTGTTTATTGGTACCGGTTCCACAGTCTGCTGATCAGACTGTGACACATTAAGCATGTTGGCTACTGCTCGCTGTGTAGAACCCATTTGAAGCATGCCAATAGTACGTAGATGTTCATCATGTTGAAGACATGTAACACACTAAAGCAAAGATACGCTAAAAAGTAAATCTAATGCAAGAACCGATAGGAAAGGAAATATGGATAGGATAAACCAGCACAGGGCTGTTTTCATCAACCCTTCCTTGAAGTGTCAAATTTGACAATGAACCCCTCCCACGTGTATGGCGCTATTGCGTGTCGCACGTGCAGCTCAGTGATTCTGTTGGGGGCGATAAGCTCTTTATCTGTGAACATACTTTCAAAGCATGTGAAGTGTCCATGACTATTTATCATATCACAACCTGCATAGGTATTTGCATTTCAATATCCCCTACTTTGTTATGAGTAAATATTTTCAGAATGAATTGAACATAAACTCTTTGGGTGTGGGGAAAAGGTCTTGTGTTCAAAAACAAAAAATGTTTAGAAATAATATATTGAATTTGTTTTCAATTCATGCTTTTGATTGTGTGCATATTTATAATTTTTATTATTGAAGGGTCATTCCAAGAATATAACAACTGTCATCAAAACAATACCAACTTCTATGTTTTCCATGGCAAAGGCAGGCATGACTGGTCTTACCTCTACTCAGTCAGGAACTAAAACAATTGTTATAGCAGCACCAAAAGGCAGTACAGGCACTTTAAATACTCCTACTAAATTGATAACTAAAGTTTCTGGCGGACACACAGGTTCGGGTAATACACAGTTCATTGTGGTTAGCCCACAGGGAGGAACCACTCAGGGTTCAACTTTTCTAGGAGGTATGTTATTCAGGTTTTGTCTGGATTTAATATTAATGTACCTTTTAATCAGCTCTTCAAATGTCCAGTAAATGTTTTGCAATATGAAAGCTGTCTTTCATTTTTTGTATCGATTATAATTCTCTTTGATAGTGCTGTTATCAATAAAATTTTGCTCACTTCGTTGCAAGGCTTAACTTGCCTGTCACAGAAACCTGACTATTTGTAATTGCCTCAAATTTCGACTATAAATTCTTTGAATTTGTGAGTTTAGTATCGACATTAATACTAAAAACAAAAACAAATACTTGCGGAAAACAGCCACTAGTGTATTTTACGTTATCAAGCTAAAACAGCAATACAGATATGAGGCAAACTGTAATAGACAAACTGTAACAACATAACTGAAACTAAAGGCCTGTGACACAACAGTTACAAAGTACAATTATTATGAAAGATTATTAACATTACTACTGGTGCATACCTTTGAATTTGATGATGATGGGAATAGGGGGGGGGGGGCTCAGTTCTGTTAAGCATGATGTGACAAAGTTCAATTTTCTTTTTGGATTAGCTGATCATTTCTTTTGTCAGTCATTCAGTTTTGCTACATGTTTTAATGTTAATACCTTATTATTGAAAATAACAACTGTAACCGTCAATTGCCACCAACAAATATTTGAATGTCTCTTTCTGGTCAGATCTATTTCCTCAAGCTGATTTCCTCAAGGTCACAAGATGTAAATGCGGTTAGGGCACATGGTTGTTGCGAGAGTTAGGATTACTGCTAGCCCTGTTTGCATCTCTTGACCTTGAGGAAAACTGCAGGTAAATACCTCTAACCAGCTTTTTCTGCTTAATGCACTAATGTATACCAAGTAGGCCCAAAATTGAATAGTTGGATGGTGCATCGATGGTGCACTAGTCATTCACTATTTAAAGATTTCCATTGAATACAGTGAAATGCTATATGCCATAAGTTCAATGTTTTATTTACAGGATCTAAGCCAGTTACGGTGACCAATTTACAAACAGCAACTTCCCTAGCAGCAAGTCAGTCAAAACCTGTAGTAACAATATTGGGAGCAGGTAATACAAATTGATATGTTCTGTTTCTCATTTCAAATTAGATTATTAAGATTTCAGTAAAAATGTCATGAATTTGATAGTTTGTTTTGCAATATATTTAATAGATTTTTTACCTGTCATTAATAAGTAGAGAGGCCAAGAATCATAAGTATTTTGGCATTCTGTTGGGACAAAAATACAAGGTATTGAGAAGGAAAAAGCACATATTTCAAATAGAAATTTAACAGTAAGAGATGTATTGAAAGATTTTGAAACTTATTTTCATTCCATACATTTTTCGTTTCAACAGGCCAAACTGGAGCTGGTAAAATTATTGCACAAGGAATACCTGGACAATCAATAGCCTCTACAATACAAGGGACATCCATACTCTCTACTCAAAGTATAAAGAGCACCACGGGTACGCCAACAATATCCTTGATAGCTCAACAAACACCAGGTGATTCAATATCTACAGTGGCAAAACAGTTGGTGACAATTCCTTCAACTATAACCTCTGCAGGAAAACCACCAGTGCAGATAACAATTTCACCTGTAGTCAAGGCCAACCCTGGAACCAATGTCACGGCTGCATCTATCACAGGAGATTGTGGTACTCCTCATGGTTGTCCTGGTGATGGAACAGATAACCAAGCAACTGGAGATTGTGGTACTCCTCATGGTTGTCCTGGTGATGGAACAGATACACAAGCAACTGGAGATTGCGGAACTCCTCACGGGTGTCCTGGTGATGGAACAGAAACAACAGCAACTGGTGATTGTGGAACTCCCCATGGTTGTCCTGGCGATGGAACCGAAACAGCAACGGGTGATTGTGGGACACCTCATGGTTGTCCAGGTGATGGAACACCAGCACAAAGTACAGGGGATTGTGGAACTCCGCATGGGTGTCCTGGAGATGAAACACCAGCTGAAGCAACAGGTGACTGTGGCACCCCCCATGGTTGTCCAGGTGATGACTCTGCGGTGGTATCAACAGGAGATTGTGGAACACCACATGGTTGTCCCAGTGATGGAACTGGAAATCAAGCAGGAGATTGCGGAACACCACATGGTTGTCCAGGAGATGGAACAGAATCTAAGACTGATGATTGTGGTACTCCTCATGGATGTCCAGGTGACGGAAATGAAACTCAAGCTACAGGAGATTGTGGAACTCCCCATGGTTGTCCTGGTGAAGGTGCACCAGAACAAAGTATTGGGGATTGTGGAACTCCTCATGGTTGTCCTGGTGATGGAACTGAAACAAAAACTACTGGAGATTGTGGTACTCCTCATGGTTGTCCTGGTGACGGTACAGAAACGCAAGCTACTGGAAACTGTGGCACTCCCCATGGTTGTCCTGGTGATGGAACTGAAACTCAAGCAACTGGTGACGTACCTGCTCAAAATCCTGAGGAAAATACGCCAATGGAAGGAGTACAAGCAACAGAACCAACTACACAAAGTGCTGAAAATGAATCAACTGATAAACCTACTGAAGAACCCATGGATACAACTGCTTCTTCAGTCGATACTACAGTGAAACTAGAACCAAGTGATGCAGCTTTAAATACCACAGAAAATAGTGCTACAAAAACTACCACAGCAACTGATACAGCTGCTGCTATATCAAGTGCTACAGATTCGTCTGGTAAGTTAGAGATTAATCCAATTCATTGCTTTGCTTTGATACCTACCAATCTTTTAATAGGAGATCATGAAAACATAACTGTTATGAAGTAATTACCAATGAAATTAATCCTTAATACATTTATGTGTTTAGAAATGTTTTATAATTTTTTCTGGTTATTTAAAGATCCTTTAGCCACATTAGCATCTGCAGCTGTTTCCTCCGCAAGGTCAACAGTTAAACAGGAACCAGATGGTGTTAATCAAGCAGCAAATGGCATAAAAACTGAACCAATGGTATGTTTGATTTTTTCTGAAAATGTTTGGGTGTTTATTTTCTAATTAACCATTTCTAGAGCTATAAATGTTTAGAACATATTTTGTTTTGTATTTGTATTGCTAATCAGAAGAAAATTGAAACATATCAATGTTATGCTGCAGTTCTAGAAAATGTGTAAACAGTATACGCATAGTGTGGTTCTAAAGCTCCCAAAAATATTAGAACTATTACACACACAACCAAATCAAAAAAATTATTCTTTCAGGATAAAATTTTAATGCCAGTGAAACGTGATGCCAACCAATGGTTTGATGTAGGAATTATAAAGAGTACTTCAACAGTGGTATCTCATTATCATCTCCCTTCTGATGGTGGACAAAACAACGGGGATGTAAGTACATTTATTAATAGTAGGATGGTCTATGCCAGAATGAGGAATTATTGTAGCATTTATTGGAGAAAGCATAACTTGCCATAGTTAAATAAATAAAGGATTATAAGTTAAGCATCAATAGTCTGGCAGAACATGATAATATTAAATTTTGTATAATCATTTTTTTTTGGTTTCATGAAAATAATAATGCTGAAGTACATACAAACAAGCCAGCAAATTGTTTATGAAATGAGTGCTCAGAGATGCTTAATGAGTAATAATTGTAGTAAGTTATGTTCTATAATTAAACAAGGAAATGTCTTTAATCTCATGCAGGATATTGATGTTGTTAATGTACCCGATCACAGTATATTAAAACGACAGGAACTTCAACCAGGAACAGCATATAAATTCCGGGTGGCTGGTATCAATGCCTGTGGTCGAGGACCATTTAGTGAAGTATCTGCATTTAAGACATGTTTGCCAGGGTTTCCTGGTGCACCATCAGCAATTAAAATCAGTAAGGTAGGAATATGTGTTTACAATCTTTCCTGATTGAACAAAATTAATTGACTTCTGATTTAGGTAGAATATTCAAACTTGGTGTTGACATTCGTTATGTGAATGTCTTCATAGGGTTCAATAATTAACAGCTATAACCAATTTGATTGGTTGCTGCTTTTGGACATGTTAATTTTAATACTAATTGAAGGAGAGTGATGAAAATGTGCGTATAGTTTCACTACATCAATACCTTCACTACATAATGAGCATTCTCTGCTTGCATTTCTGCTTAGATCAAGCTACTTGCTTTACAAAAAATTATTTCTTAAATTAATTAGTCTGGTCTATTTATTATATTATTTTTTAGAGTGTAGAAGGGGCTCATTTATCATGGGAGCCACCACAGAATACGGCTGGTAAAATTACAGAATATTCAGTTTATCTTGCTGTTAGAAATGCTGCTACAGCTACACAAGATCAGAAACCTGGTACACCAGCTCAGTTGGCATTTGTTCGTGTTTATTGTGGTCCCAATCCCTCCTGTGTAGTGACAACAAGTAGTTTAACATCAGCACACATAGACTATACAACTAAACCAGCTATAATCTTCCGTATCGCGGCTAGAAATGAAAAAGGCTATGGCCCTGCCACTCAAGTAAGGTGGCTTCAAGGTAATTATTTATAGATTTGAAATTGATACCATGTTTAGTTTATTGGGACAAAGCAGCCTATTGATTTGTATAATAATGTCAGCATCTTCAAAATCTAGGAAGTTATCAGAAATTTATTGGCAGTGGTGGTGACTTGATAACGTAAATTTTAGTTTTCAACAATTTCCACTAACTCCTTTCAAATACTACTTTGAAAAACTTGGGGATACTCCTCTATGTCCACTGTTTATGTTCATTAGATGAAGAAAACCCGAGTTACTGTTCTTAAAAATCTTTTGACTCTCAAGTGGCTGAAGTTATTTTCTGATTCATTTCAAACAACAAATTTTATTGATATGTATAATAAATGTTAGCATCAGAAAGAACTAGTAGGCAGTCAAATTTTTATTTATTTCTGATAGTTATATAGGATACATTATGGAAGATTAGATAAAGAGCTGGCAGTTCTGACAACAATCTAGATAATGTAAAGGGAATGTGCTGAAAATTTCATTCAAATTGCTCCACTCAGAACCGAGATATTAACGATTACATTTTGGGCCTAGTCTCAATCATTACTAAAGTCTGTATGATAAAATACATAGTCTTAATTATCCATTCTTCAATTTAATCATCAATGAGTGGGGAGCAGCAGATAGGATTCAAATCCAGTGAAAATCTGACACATAAGATGGCATCGAGAGGTGATTAAGGTCTTTTCCTGTTAAGAAAATCTGACACATAAGATGGCATCGAGAGTTGATTAAGGTTTTTTCCTGTTAATAAATGTCTAAGTAATGGTTTATAACATTTCAGGCCTAAAGATAGACCTCCAATAGGGGGATTTAACTCTTGCATAATGTATGTTTAATGAGGTTTTTTTCAGCATCTTGTAAATGCTCCCATTAATTACCTATAAAAGAATATCTATGCAGTAAACCTTTTGGGTGCCGTATAAATGGTGAAACTATTTTACAAAATCTTTCTCTCTACAATTTTTTTCAGATGCTTCACAAAGTCCATTAAGTGCTAAAGTTGCTGTTAAACATAAGTTACCTTCAGGTCCTGATGTGTAAGTATATATCAGTTTTCTTTATAATGGAAGAATTCCTTGATATTAGTTGATATATTTGATACTTTATACACAAAGAATCTTGTACAGTAAATTCAGACAATCATATGGTAACCATCTTCTCAAATTAATATTACTTTTGAACTTTCAGAAAAACTCCAATAACGTTATCTGGTGCAGCAATGGTGAAAAAAGTTAAAACAGAAGATGAGTAATCACTCAGTGCTGTATACAATTTAAATTTATACAAGTCAAGAAGTAATAAAATTTATTTGGAACTTCTAGCTGTTGTTATTCGATTGTTATAAATCGATAGTGAATAATCCAGAAAAGACATTTTGCTGAAGACCATGTTCGATCTACAAATTTGTTAAAGACTCTCAAGAAAAAGATATTTTAGTGGAATATCAAAATTTAGAGATTTCATATTTTTAATAAAGCTGTATGCTTGTGTATTTATTGTGAATATATTTTTTATGGAGGAAAAGAAAATGAACTACATTATGTTATAATTTATGTTATATTTTGATGATAACTTGAAACCCATAGTTTAAAAGTTTAACATGCAATATTGATATTTATAAGTTTCTGAGCTAGAATTCAGTTGACCATTGAAGTTTTAACAAAGAAACGTAAAATGAATTTATTTAAATCAAAACCTAGGAATCTCTCGATTAAATATGTTCTAGAACATAACTTCAATAGTTTGTTGAATTAAGTAACCATTAATACCAACCATCACCATCTTCCAGATCTGGACAAAAAAAGCTTATCATGTCATTGATATAAATAATCATTTGTAAATATTCACATTGTAGAATTTAATCATAATATGATGTAATTGTATAAACAAGAATTTTATCATGTTAATTCCATTTACTTGTTCATCCCATTCTCTTTATTGCATGATATTATAAAATTATTCTCATCTCAAAATAACTAATAATTATATATACATGTATATATTATAACTAATACTGCTTAGAATGTAAAATGTATGCACAAAATGGCAGTGTAACAAACTCTTTATAGAGAAAATAGATATGATGAATAGGTTCATTTTACACTCATGGGGAGTTTTACTTTGAGAGTCACCCCTTTATGGCTATCTCATTATTTAACTATTCAGTATGCTGGGGAATGTAAATTACGCAAATAGGTAAATATGTTAGGAAATGATGCCGAGAACAAAAAGAAATTGATAATAGGAAATTATTTCAAGAGTTTGATTGTTTCGAAAGTTAATAGTGGTAAATGAATACATGTATATTGTTTGATAAGATGTTAATTCGGGCAGTTTGGGTATTAAAATAAAGAAATGTAATGGCTAATTAAAACAAAGTTGATACTTTTGTGTACATATTTCTTTAGTAGTCAGATTCATTCAAATAAATTTAATTTTTTGATAAAAAATTTTTGTAAAATACTTATGCCATCACATGTTTTCTAATCACTAGTTAATGATCTGTCAAAGCACATTTTTAAATGGCATTACTAGTAAGTCATTATTTTAACATTTAAGTTGAAGTTGAAATCCTAAAACATTGAATCAAAAATGCATCACTTTTCCATTTTTTTCCTCATTAATTAATAATTGACATCAAAATATGGTTTGAATTAAATTTAACTAATCAATTATTTGTACATTTTGTCATGTCTAATCATACTCTGTAAACTAAGAACCTGAAGGAGGTATTGTTAATGTGCCATTTTAATGTTGTTGCCATTTGTTCACCATCTGTAGTTTGTTGGCTTACCTCTCATTGGTTATTTCTCTCAGTGTTAATCGTTTCATACTTGTATTCATTTTAGTATTAATTAGCTGGTCATCTCCTTTATGTGTACTTCAATAAAGTATACTTTTAATCATCAGTTCTATATTGCTGTCATTTTTTTCTAAACACATTTCTCCCTATTTTATTAAGAAATGGGAACCATTGTGATTTTTGTACTGTTTTCATTTGTAATGTGGGCAAGGCTCTACAATGCGACTGAATTTTGACAATGGCGACCAGATATTTATAAATGCTAGGTTTCTGGCGAGTGACCATATATCTTGAAGTCCCCAATTAACACTATAGCTATCTGAACTTTTCTCCGTAAAGATAATGTAATCGGCAATGATCTTGGTCAACTGTCACTCTTGTTTCTTTCTTGGTTTGAAATTGGGTCAATCTCATTGTCCTCTGTGAGGAAATTCTCATTGCACATGCGCTGTATTTATCGGAAGTTTACAAGACAGCTGACAGCATGGCTAGCAGACGAATCAAACCTATATCGTCTTACTTTCCTAGTAAAGTAACTTCGTCTCGCAGTGAGTCTCAGTCGGGGAAAAATGATGATAGTCATGCTACTGATGCTACACAACCCAAACAAGCAAAATTACAAGCTTCGCCGTCGTCTCGCAATTGAGTCCCAGTCGGAAGAAAATGTTTAAAACATCTATTATTATTATAGGATGACAACGACAAGTTAAAGAGTTATGTATGTTCACAATATAATTTAGCTATATCATACGGCAAATTATTCTAATCTTCAGACTTGGCAACTGAAAATTTTGTTCGGCTAGTGGTTTTGAAAATTTACTTATGTTTGCACAAGTAAGTTCAAAATGCTGTGTAGAGCCTTGAATGTGGGGCGACAAGGATAACCACCATCAAATTCAGAGCACAATAGTAAGATGTCAAATCCCATTTCATTAACCCCTAAATTTTTCTGTACAAAAATACAGCCCTGAGAGCCTTAAGATCAAACAGATCAAATTGGACCTTGACCCTTTTTGGCACAAGATCCTTTTGTACAGCTATACATGATTGAACGCCTATTAAATATTGGCAAATACATTTATTATATAATGGAATTAAATTGCTGCCTGGACAATGAAAATGAAAATTAAAGTCTGGAACTAAAAGCTTTTCAACAGCACAAACAAGTAACTTAGGTTTTTATACGCCCACATTTTCATGTGGACATATATTCCCAGGCTAGAGCTCACAATTTTGATCCGATTTTGATGAAACTTGAAATACATGTTTATAACCTAAAGATCTTGGTTCCTTTTGATATTTGCTAAAATCGGATCGTAACTTCCTGAAATATGGCCCTTAACTGTACGAAAAATCGTCTTTTTAGCTTGTGTTCCCTCTAGAGGTCACAATTATTATCTGATTTAAAAAAACTTAAACTCTGTGTATCAGTCTGATGTCAATTGGATGATAACATAAGCCTCTTGAGCCTCAAGGGCCATAACTTTGGCAGTAATTATCGGAAAGCGTTGAAAATCAATAGAATTCTTCGTCTCATGACCTCAAACACTGCGTATAAATTTAAAGTCAATCGGATATTAACTTTAGCCACAAGATATTTTGAAGTGATCAAGGGCCATAACTCTGGCAGTAATTATCGGAAATTGCTGAAAATCAATAGGCTTCTTCGTCTCAGATATTAACTTTGGAGTCTATAGTGTTCACAAGATATTCTGAAGTGATCAAGGGCCATAACTCTGTCATTAATTATCGGAAATCAATAGGATTCTTTGTCTCATGACCTTAAACACTCTATTAATTTAGTCAATCGGATATTAACTTTGGCCTCTAGAGGGTACACAAGATTTTTTGAAGTGATCAAGGGCCATAACTCTGGCAGTAATTATCCGAAATCGCTGAAAATCAATAGGCTTCTTTGTCTCATGGGCGACGACAATATACAACGAAATATAGATCTGTATTTTAATCAGATTGTAGTATGTGTGGGCTGTACAAACAGTATTAATTGGTAAGGCTAAAGCTGATTTTACATTTAATAATATTTGATGTTATTCATCTGATATAGGATCCACAGTGGCGCAAGACGCTGGCCTGCTACCCTGGAGGTCGCGTCTTCAATCCCTGCATTGACCGATAAAATTTAATCAGGATTGGACATGGTTTCCTCTTTTCAGTGGTGCAGGATGGAGGGTCTGACAAGGACAGCTGTCTAGTTGTTTGGATGTCTGCTGCCCAGACAAAATTCCCCTCATAGCACACTGTAAGCGTATGCCCGTCTTCATCAGCCCAGTTGGAGCCAACAGTAGGATGTTAAACTCCATTTCATTTTATCTATATCATAACTAGACACACATATTGTTAACAATGTTTTGTGTTTTTCTTTTTCCCTGCATGTCCAACCTATATGTTCTTTCTATTGAGGGGGGGCGGATGGCCAAATGGTTAGCATGTGCGCGCTGCGCTGTTGCGCTGTATCATACGGTCTGTCATTGAGTCAACTGGCAGGGTTTCGATTCCCAGGTTGTACTTGACAAAATGGTTGGTTTCTATTCATTAATAACCAGATGCGGACAATATAAACAGGAAAAGACATCACCTATTATCTTGGCTTAAATCTTTTGATGAGCCTCTTTTATTATTAGAGTGGATCCAAGCCAGTAGATTATCTCTATTGATTGCGCGGTGCAAAATTAGATATTGTTTGAAAAATTGCAACGGACGATCTGTGGCTTTGACAACAAAAGACCTATGTCAATGACAGATTCAACTCTTTTTTGAACAGTATGCTGCAGACATGAAACAACATTCATAAATTACTTTAAAACAACATGGTATCCTTTTTTTGTTGGATAACTTTGGGAACAAGAAAGAAAAGTTTTGTTAATATTTTCATTTGTTTTCTTATCTTCTGTGCACGACTGAATACACAATTTTTATACATTATCTATTCAAGACATTTTTGTTGGCTGAAAGATACAGCAACTTGACTAAATGATGCACAAAGAAATTTACATAATTATTAAAGTATCTGTAAAACAATACCAGGTATAAAATTGAAGAAGGTCCAATTTTACTAAAAAGGTACATAGTGAGAGCATAGAATTAATCACTTTGCTTGCTATTTCAGCCCTGAATTAGACTAATAATCTATAGATAACATTTATTTTATGAGAACATGTATAAAAATAGATAGTAGGATTTTAAACACCATTTAATTTCATAAAAATAGATAGATATATGTAATGTAAAATTCTAACCTGCAACACACAACAATTAAATGCCAACTATTTTAACATGAAAATTTCATTTACTAATAAATTTAAAAAATTGAAAAATCTAATTGATCAACAAAGATTTGCTAAAAATAGACATAAATTTGTAAAAAAATTCTAACAATGACCACTTTGTTAAACATACATTATAAGAATTTGATAAAGCTGGCCATTCTTGCTATAATAGTTCAAAAACAGATAATGGATAATGAATATATTGAAAACTTCATTAAAATTACTTTATTTTGAGCCAAGTTATTACTGTTTGTAGTTTTGATAAGATGTGTGTATTGATTGTGTATTATCATAATCACGGTACTGGTATATTCGAGACTTGACCTTGCTTAACCATTTTTAAATTCAATCTTTCGAGACTTGACCTTGCTTAACCATTTTTAAATTCAATCATTCGAGACTTGACCTTGCTTAACCATTTTTAAATTAAATGATTAAATGGCATCGAGAGTAGATACATTATAAATGTATAATTAACCAGGGGCTGCCAGGCAAGATATGCCCACATTTTGCCAGAGATGGATAGAGAACAAGCTAAACAAAAAGCGATTTTTTGTACAATCAAGGGCCATAATTCAGGAAGTTACGATCCAATATGCGCGAATATCGAAAGGAACCAAGATCTTTGGGATATAAACATGCATTTCATGTTTCATCAAAATCAGATCAAAATTGTGACCTCCCTGAGTGTTCACAACCTTGATATAAGTGCAAATATCAAAAGGAACCAAAATCTTTGGGTCATAAACATGCATTTTAAGTTTCATCAAAATCAGAGGACAATTGTGACCTCTAATAGGGTGCCCCACCATAAATAAATATCTCCAAATATCTCGACAATTACACCACAATATCTATATATACACCAAGCCTTAAATCAGCTTCAAACATTTATAGTCACTAAATAAACGGTCATGCTGTACTTAATAAGCTATGACCATTTAATCATCGATAAATAATACACTGAAAGATGGTTCCGAGTGTCGGCCATAACATCCGAGCACATGTGAGTAAAAATTATTTTACGTGCCCTTGTTTTGAAAGTAGTCTTGCTTAACCCGTCTACCGACCATTCTACGTTTGATTAACAGGCCGGGATAATCATACTACTTTTTTACGAAACATTACACAAAAAAGTTGGAACAATAAATTGAATTTAGAAAGACGCAGGTTGGGCAACTCAACAATTGTTTTAAGAACCTTCTAAAAGTAAAATGAAACTACTGGTAGTATCATGTTCTTGCCCAACGCAAGTATTTCAGAGATATTATTTGTACTAAACCAAAAGATGCCGCTCCTAATTGTACCGTTAATGATAAAAGCAATTTAAACAAGCGGTTGCCATGCAAGATACGCCCACATTTTGCAAGAGATGGACAGAGAACAAGCTCAAAAAAAGAAGTGATTTTTTCGTACAATCAAGGGCCATAATTCAGGAAGTTACAATCCGATATGCATGAATATTGAAAGGAACCAAGATCTTTGGGTTATAAACATGTATTTCAAGTTACATCAAAATCGGATCAAAATTGTGTCCACTCTCTAGAGGGTCCAAAACGTTGATATACAATATATTTACAATATTTGCGTACGAGGGGCAGCCATTTTGTCCGGCAGTTTTGGTCCGATTTGTACGAAATTCAGACTCAACCATCATAAGGGTTTGACAGGGATATATTGAAACGTTTTTTAAAATCGGATAAAAATTATGACATCTAGAGGGATCACATCCTAAAAACGCGACTTTTCGTACAATCAAGGGCCATAAATTCAGGAAGTTATGATCCAAAATGTGCGTTTATCGAAAGGAACCAAGATCTTTGGGTTATAAATATGTATTTCAAGTTTCATCAAAATCGGATCAAAACTGTGACCTCTAATGGGTCCACAACCATATTTTTACGCTATTTGAGAACAAACGGCGGCCATTTTGTCTGTAAATTTTGGGCCAATTTTTACGAAATTCGAACTCAGTCGTCCTTAGGGTGTAACGGTGACATAATAATACATTTTTTTAAATCGGATAAAAATTATGACCTTTAGGGTCCACAAGCTAAAACCGCGATTTTTTGTACAATCAGGGACCATAATTCAGGAAGTTAAAGTCCGATATGCGCGAATATCGAAAGGAACCGAGAACTTTGGGTTATAAAATTACATTTCGAGTTTCAACAAAATCGGATAAAAATTGTGATCTCTATAGGGTCCACAATCTTGATATACCATATTTTTACGCTATTTGAGAACGAATGGCGGTCATTTTGTCTGTACATTTTGGGCTGATTTTCATGAAATGCGACCTCAGCTGTTTTTAGGGTGTAACGGTGATATAATAATACGTTTTTTTAAATCGGATAAAAATTATGACCTCTATTGGTTCAACAAGCTAAAAACGTGATTTTTCGTACAATCAGGGACAATAATTCAGGAAGTTACGGTCCGATATGCGCGAATATCAAAAGGAACCGAGATCTTTGGGTTATAAACTTACATTTCAGGTTTCCAAAAAATCGGATAAAAATTGTGACCTCTATAGGGTCCACAACCTTGATATACCATATTTTTACGCTATTTGAGAACGAACAGCGGCCATTTTGTCGGCAGCCATTTTGTCTGTCAATTTTGGGCCGATTTTCACGAAATTCGAACTCAGTCGTCCTTAGGGTGTAACGGTGACATAATAATACGTTTTTTTAAATCGGATAAAAATTATGACCTCTATAGGGTCCACAAGCTAAAAACGCGATTTTTCGTACAATCAGGGGCCATAATTCAGGAAGTTACAGTCCGATATGCGCGAATATCGAAAGGAACCGAGATCTTTGGGTTATAAACTTACATTTCAAGTTTCAACAAAATAGGATAAAAATTGTGACCTCTATAGGGTTCACAACCTTGATATACCATATTTTTACGCTATTTGAGAATGAACGGCAGCCATTTTGTCTGTCAATTTTGGGCCGATTTTCACGAAATCCGAACTCAGTTGTCCTTAGGGTGTAACGGTGATATAATAATACGGTTTTTTAAATCGGATAAAAATTATGACCTCTATAGGGTCCACAAGCTAAAAACGCGATTTTTCGTACAATCAGGGGCCATAATTCAGGAAGTTACAGTCCGATATGTGCGAATATCGAAAGGAACCAAGATTTTTGGGTTATAAACTTACATTTCAAGTTTCAACAAAATAGGATAAAAATTGTGACCTCTATAGGGTCCACAAGCTAAAAACGTGATTTTTCGAACAAACAGGGGCCATAATCCACGAAGTTTCAATCCGATACATGCCAATATCGAAAGCAGCCGAGATCTTTTGGGGATAAACCTATATTTCAAGTTTCGTAAAAATCGGACAAGAATTGTGACCTGTAGAGAGTCCACAAACAAATTGTGGACGGACAGACGTCCGGACGGACAGGGGCGACGACAATATACGTCCACATGAAAATGTGGGCGTATAAAAATAAAACAAAGGTAATTTCTAAAGCTCCTGTAATAACCAATAAGCTAAATATTACTGCTATTCAGAATCGTCAACAATAGATTTTATTACAGCTGTAATAGTTGATAGATGTGTAGAGAATTGCACGTGCGATAGCTATTTATAGTATCATAGACTCTTCCGCCGAGTGTTATCATAGTGCGTAGTGTATGCAAGAAATCAGTTCAAGATAAGCCACTGAAAACTGTACATTCGCCGTGTCAAGACCAACTTTCTGTACGGTGCACGGGCCACCCTACCTCTAAGAGTGTCCACAAGCTAAAAACATAATTTTTTGTACAATCAGGGGCCATAATCCATGAAGTTATGGTCCGATAAATGCCAATATCGAAAGGTACCAAGATCTTTGGGAGATTGACCTATATTATAAATTTCGTCAAAATCAAAAAACAATTGTGACCTATAGAGTGTCCACAAACAAATTGTGGACGGATGGACAGGGGCAAGAACAATATACGTCCACATGAAAATGTGGGCTATAAAAATGTATATAACATTTAAGGCCTCAAGAAAGACTTGCGATAGGCAAATTTTCCTCTTGAATAATTTATCTTTAAAACTGAATACCATACATATTCTAATGATATAAATGTACAAGTTCATTAAATTTCTACAAACATGTTTACAAGCACATTATAATGAACCATGTGAAATAAATGCCAATATAATTGAATCAGTTATCTGAATACTGGGATAAATTCTGTTTCCTCTTCATCATGGCTTGTGTTAATCTATTATTTCTACGAGATATTTTTTCCATATTTTTCACTGTCTTTTGGAAGCTTTTAGGAGATTCTGTATTTATTGTAGGATTAGATGAAGGCACTTTCCTAGTACGTAAGTTATACCTTGGTTTTATGATGGTTTCCTATAAAAAAAGAAAGAAAATGGGTTGCCAGGCAACAAAAGATACGCCCACAGCAGCTAAATTGTCTGGGCAGTCAACAAGAGTTGTCGCATATTTTTACTTTTTTCAGTAATGAAACATTTATAATAGACTAAATTCTGATTAAAAGTAACAACTCATTAAGAAATTATCAGAAAACCATTAGAATTTGTTTGGTTTTTATAAAGTTCTGCCCCATGCTAACGTTTAGTATACGAAACTTTTAATATCATGGATTTAGCTGTTCAAGTCATAAAAATTCATTGAAAATCAATATACTTCTTCGCCTCAAGACCGTAAACACTGTGTATCAATCTGAAGTCAATCGGATGATAACTTTAGCCTATAGAGCGTCACAAGATTTTTCAAAGTGATAAAGGGCCATAACTCAGCAGTAATTATCGAAAATCGTTGAAAATCATTAGGATTCTAGTCAAGTCAATCGGATATTAACTTTAGCCTCTAGAGCATCCACAAGATTTTTTGAAGTGATCAAGGGCCTTAACTCTGGCAGTAATTATTGGAAATTGCTGAAAATCAAGAAGCTTCTTCGTCTCGTGACCTTAAACACTGTGTATAAATTTAAAGTCAATTGGATATTAACTTTAGCCTCTAGAGCGTCCACAATATACGACCATTTAATATTTTAATACACGCATAAGATATTTTGTCAGGTAAATCAACCAATATGATTTAATAAAGCTGTTAGACTTTGCACAATACCACACTGTATGTGCCTATTTCATCTATGTTGCAAGGTTTCCACATGTAATTTATAGCCCAAAGCACTACTGATCTGATACCAATGTTTTTAAAACAAATTTAAAATAGTCATTGTTGCTACAACCAGTTCACAATCAATTGAGCAGCATAGTAATTGAAGCAATGCAAGTTTCCAATCAATATTGTAAATTAAATTTTCAAAAAATAAAAATCATTTGAAAGCTTACCGAAGTTGAAGCTACTGGTTCAGGGTCCCCTGAAATACATGAAATGTGATCAATTCAAAAGATGAAAAATAACATGATCAGATTCAGGACTGCAAGAAGAGGTCTGCACAATGAAAAAGAATTGACACATCTTCTGTGACTTTATGTTTAATTAAAGATACATTATGGGAAATTAGATAACTATAATAGTTAAAAACTAGATAATGTAAAGGGAATTTGCTGAAAACTTCAGCCAAATTGATCCACTCTGGACCAAGATTTTAGTGATTGAATTTTCGGCCTAGCCTCGATCATCATTACTAAAGTCAGTATGATAAAAAAACATAGTCTCAATTATCCATTTCATGATTAAATAATGAATTGAAGTCGAACAGGAAATCGGAAACTAATCCAATAAACATCGCAGACGAGCGATGATATCGCTGTATATTGCTGTATATTGTCATCGCCCCTGTCCATCCGTTCATTCGTCCGTCCGTCCGTCGATGATATCGAGAGTTGATTTTGGTAATTAATGTCTAATTAATAATTTAGATAACATTTCAGGCCTAAACAAAGACCTGCAATAGGCAGATTTAGCTCTTGCATAATGTATGTTTAATTTGATGGGTATCTTAGCGCTTGGGTCAATTTTGTAAAACATCAAATTGCTGTATATTGTCGTCGCCCCTGTCCATACGTTCGTTCGTCGGTCGATGATATCGAGAGTTGATTTTGGTAATAAATGTCTAATTAATAATTTAGATAACATTTCAGGCCTAAACAAAGACCTGCAATAGGCAGATTTAGCTCTTGCATAATGTATGTTTAATTTGATGGGTATCTTGGCGCTTGGGTCATTTTTGTAAAACATCAAATTGCTGTTGATGGAGTTCCATGGCATAATTTATCAGATAAAATACCATACCATTGTATAATAATTTATATAATTAGGCAAAATTACAGTCATTTATTACTAAATCTGAAGGTTTTCCTACCAAAACTCTTGATTGTTTATAGCCCCACAAATATCGTAAGTCCATCTGGCTTTATTATGTTCTGTAACTGTTAAATGATTTTTCCCCCATAAATATTACTATAAAAGTTCAATCTACCTTTCTCATTGGTAAAGTTAAAGAAGCCAGTATCAATCCAGGAAGCCAATTGGTTGGATAACTGTCTGATAGGGGTAGAGTTACGAATATCATTAAGTTCATTGAGTAAAGACTGATTTGCTGCATCAGTTGTCACAGTTACATAACTATCCGATTCACAGTTGGTTGTATCATCATCATCAGCCTCTTCGAGTAATGAAAATGTTTTATCTGTGTCACCCGTACTTAATACAGATGTATCACTACTATACCCGCTGACACTATTATCACTATTTTGTGTAGTAGCTGAAAACAAAAACATACTGTTTTGAAAACCAGCGGCTGCCAGGCAAGATACGCCCACATTTTCGAGAGATGGATAGAGAACAAGCTAAAAAAAAAGTGATTTTTCCTACAATCAAGGGCCATAATTCAGGAAATTACAATTCGAGATGCGCAAATTTCGAAAGGAACCAAGATTTTTGTGTAATAAACTTACATTTCAAGTTTCAACAAAATCGGATATACCATATTTTTACGCTATTTGAAAACGAAGGATGGCCATTTTGTCTTTCAGTTTTGGGTCGATTTTCACGAAATTCGAACTCAGCCGTCCTTAGGGTGTAACGGTGATATAATAATATGTTTTTTTCAATCGGATAAAAATTATGACCTCTATAGGGTTCACATGCTAAAAATGTGATTTTTCGTACAATCAGGGGCCATAATTCAGGTGGTTACGGTCCGATATGCGCGAATATCGAAAGGAACCGAGATCTTTGGGTTATAAACTTACATTTCAAGTTTCAACAAAATCAGATAAAAATTGTGACCTCTACAGAGTCCACAACCTTGATATACCATATTTTTACACTATTCGGGTACAAGCGAGAGAGAGAGAAAGAGAGAGAGAGAGAGAGAAGAAAATGGGGTTTAACGTCCACTCGACACAAACTAGGTCATTTTGGGACTAACATATGGTTTAATTTTATTTCAATAATTCGCTTGCGCATAGGGGTCTTTAGCAGTGGGAGGAAACCGGGGGACCCGGAGAAAACCCACGAGGTTGGACGGGCGATCCTACTCCTTGTCACGTACAACCGGGAATTCGAAACCACGCCAGTCGACTCAATGACAGACTTTATGATACAGCGCGCGCACGCTAACCATTCAGCAATCCACCCCCCTTCGCGTACAAGCGGCTACCATTTTGTCCGTCAGTTTTGGTCCGATTTTCACGAAATTCGAACTCAACCTTTATTACGGTGTAACGGTGATATACTAAAACTTTTTTAAATTGGATAAAAATTGTGACCTCCGATACATGCCAATATCGAAAGGAACCGAGATCTTAGGGAGATAAAGCTATATTTCAAGTTTCGTTGAAATCGGATAAAAATTGTGACCTGTAGAGTGTCCACAAACAAATTGTGGACAGACGTCCGGACGAACAAACAGGTGCGACGACAATATACGTCCACATGAAAATGTGGGCGTATAAAAATCAATAGGATTCTTTGTCACATGCCCTTAAGTTAAACACTGTGTATAAAAGTCAATCAGATATTAAATTTTGTGTCTAGAGCATCCACAAAATATATGAAAGTGATCAAGGGTCATAACTCCGGCAGTAATTATCAGAAATCGTTGAAAATCAATAGGCTTCTTCATCTCATGACCTTAAACACTGTGTATCAATTTAAAGTCAATCGGATATTAACTTTAGCATTCAGACCTTAAACTCTGTGTATCAATCTGAAGTCAATTGGATCATAACATAAGCCTCTAGTGCCTCTAGAGCCTCAAGGGCCATAACTTTGGCAGTAATTATCAGAAATCGTTGAAAATCAATAGAATTCTTTGTCTCATAATCCAAAACACTGTGTATAAATTTAAAATCAATCGGATATTAACTTTAGCCTCTAGAGCATCCACAATTGGACCAACTGACGGACGGACGGACGAACGAACGGATGGGCAGGGGCGACGACAATATACGACCACATTACAACGTGGGCTTATAAAAATCAGAATTGTGTGATTTTTTGAAACTCTGAATTTCGGTTGGGAATTGGATTTCGAACACTTCTTTTTGCGGAATGGAATAATTTTCACATCTTTCCTTTTGTATACACTAAAATTATATTTTCATAATTGAGCTAGTGCCTGAAAAATTTGATGACCGCCCCCCCCCCCCAATGTTTTGCCCGACTTTTCACTTTGTCTGCATTTGCAAAATGAATATATATATTTTTTGGGATAAAATTTAGGTTTAAAAGCAAACATGTCAGAATTTAATTATTAATGAAATAGTAATACTTACAGTCCACTGCAACTGAATTCAATTCTCTTGAATCAGGATAATCATATGGTTTATATGAGTTGCTTCCTTGATTTGGAGATGGAACACCTAAGGTATGAAATGGATAATTTGTGAATTTGTATTTTATTACCATTTACAAAAGCCCCGATTTCTCAGAAGACTATTAGACATTTTTTGTACTTGAATTTAACAAACATAACGTCTGGAAGGTTTTCTTAAGACAGTAATCTGGAAAATCCAGTCAAGAAAAACTAAGAATTTTTGGATGTGAATTGATCCACAACTAAGCATAGAATTTTCTAATAAATGCTGGCTATTTGGAATGAAAGCCAACAGTGAGGCTGATGACCCCCGCCGAAATGCCCAAAATATATAGACAACACATAATAAAGATACAGTATGGGAGATTAGATAAAGAGCTGGTAGTTCACTATAATAGTTAAAGACAGGTTGCCAGGCAACGAAACATACACCTACAGCAGCTAAATCGTAAGGGCAGTCAACAAGAGCTGTCGCATATTTTTACTTTTGTTGGTAATGAAACATTTATAATACACTAAAATCTGATTAAGAGTGACAACTCATTATCAGACAATTATTGGAATTTTTTTGTTTAGTATACAAAACATTTAATATCATGGATTTAGCTGTTCAAGTTATCAAAAATAATTGAAAATCAATATACTTGTTTGTCTCAACCTGTATATGAACCTAAAGTCAATCGAAACGATTATATATAGACGTAAACACGGTGTATAAATAGAAAATCATGACCTGATGACCTTAAACACTGTGTATAAATTTAAGGTCAATCGGATAGTAACTTTAGCCTCGAGAGCGTCCAAAAGATTTTTCAAAGAGATCAGGGGCCATAACTCTGGCAGTAATTATTGGAAATCGATGAAAATCAATAGGATTCTTCGTCTCATGACCTTAAACACTGTGTATAAATTTAGAGTCAATTGGATATGAACTTAAGCCTCTAGAGCATCCACAAAAAATTTATATTAAATATGAAGGTTCTGGAGTATAATTCTGATTTAGGACTAATAAAAGTATTTACTAATTATTTTGATGAAATAGCCACCATCCAACCCCCACAAAGTAATATTTTTTTGCCATTGGCATTTTAAAGCCACCGATCGTCATTTGCCTTTTTCAGTCAATGTCTTATTTTTCAAGGAATAACCAATGTGAAAAAGAACTCAAACTTTTTATTTGACATTTAATTGAGGAATGAAAATACTAAAAGTAGATAATCTCCTGTCTCAAATGACGATCAGAGATTTGAATATTGTAGCAAAACTCACCTTGGAACATTCTTTTTATATCTGAATTTTGCTTTCGAATTTCAATTAGTAACTGACTATTTAAAACACTAATATCTTGGTATTTACACGCAAAAACTGTAAGTATTACTATAGCAGTTGCTGCAGAAATCTTTCGGAGAAATCTTTGTGAAGAAAATATCAATTCCTGGAAAACAAATGTTCAAAACTTTGTAACAGTATTGATTAATCTGTTCTATCTAAGTACATGCAACATGTGTGCGGAAGCGAGGTGCCTGTGATTACCATCCGTACATCCTGAAAAAAGGTAAAACATTATTTTAGCATATTTATTACCAACAAGCGGTTGCTAGGCAAGATACGCCCACATTTTGCAAAAGATGGATAGAGAACAAGCTATTAAAAAAAAGGCAAGTTTTCGTACAATCAGGGGTCATAATCCAGAAAATTATGGTCTGAAATGCGCAAATATCAAAAGAAACTGAGATCTTTGGAATATAAAGATCTATTTTAAGTTTCATCAAAATCGGATAAAAATTGTCAAGCAGTTTCGTTTGATTTTACAAAAATTGGAATTCAACCTTCCTTTTGGTGGTATGGTGATATATTTAAACGGTCTTTAAAATCAGATAACCAGCGGTTGCCAGGAAAGATACAACCACATTTTGCAAGAGATGGACAGAGAACAAGCTAAAAACAAAAGCGATTTTTTTGTACAATCAGGGGCCATAATCCAGAAAGCTATGGTCAGAAATGCGCAAATATTAATAACCAGCAGTTGCCAGGCAGGATACGCCCACATTTTGCAAGGGGTTTAACGTCCTACTGTTTTAAGGATGACAGGCCTACGCGTCCAGTTAATACAACGGACAATCTCACCTCGGTCCACAAAAGAGAGACACTAATATAAATAACCTAATTTGCAATAATTCGTACCTATATATATCAAACCCCTTGGGCGCCATGTTGAGTTACAAAATATTTAACGTTTAAAAACCTAATTACATGGAATCAACGACAAATTTAAACTTGGGGACTCCAACCATTATCATATTTGTTTTACCATGCTCTACCTCTGAGTGTGTTACCTCAACACAATGTTACAAACCAACCAAAGGCTTCCTAGTTAGCAAAATTATGGACACTAGCACTTCAATCTAATGATCAGTTGTCAAACCAAAGTACAACCCGATAATCGAGCTACCGACCCAGGTAGCAAATTTGCAAACCCCACCAAGAGGCCAAACCCGGTAACACCGCCAATTAGTAACCATGGAAACCCAAGTGGGGTTTCCGAATAGTATAAATAAAAACACCTGCTACGTGAGTCCAATCAGTTTGAAGAGTTCAACACGAACAAAACTAGTCCCTCACACTCGGGACAACCAGGTCTTCAAGCCACTCTTATTTCATGGATGAAAGTTGAGTAGCAAATCGGATCCTAATCCACTAAATATCGCAGGCTAGAGATGACATCAAGAGTTGATTATGGTCTGGATAAGTTAATTAATGTCTAATTAATAATTTAGATAACATATCAGGCCTAAAGAAAGACCTGAAATAGGCAATTTAGCTCTTGGGTAATGTATGTTTAATGGTTCTTGTCTTATAATATAAAACTTTTAGAAATAGCATCTGCATTGTTGTTGTACCATTCTGGTGGCTTCATCAATTTCTGTGACTCAAACCACCAGTGGATAGGGGGCCATGGTGGCTAAGTGAGTAAGACGTTGGCTCACTAGCCTGGAGGTTGCGGGTTGGCTCCTGGTGTTGGCCAAGAAATTTCATCAGGATTTTTTGCTGTGGTACTGGTGTTTCCCATTGTCGGTGGTTCAGGACAGAGGGCCTGAAGACAGTTGTCTAGTCTTTCGGATGTGCCGAAAACCGACGTAAAAGATCCCTTGGCACTTGAAAAATCGGTATAAGAGTAGGCCTTAGTGATGCTGTCCGGGCAAAATTTCCTTCATAGCACAGTGTATGGCATATGCCCGTCTTCATTAGCCCAGTCAGAGCAGAACAGTACATGTAAGTCTTTAAACCACATTTCATTTCCACCAGTTGATAACTTTTGTCAAATACCATACAGTTCTATAACCAACGGTTGCCAGGCAAGAAAAGCACACATTTTTCAAGAGATGGATAGAGAACAAGCTTTAAACAAAACGATTTTTCGTATAAACCAGAAAAATATGGTCTGAAATGCGCAAATATTGACAGGGACTGATATCTTGGGCCATAAACATACATTTTAAGTTTCATCAAAATTGGATAAAAATTGTGACCTCCAACTTGCGTACAAAGAGCGTCCATTTTGTCGGGCAGTTATGTTTCGATTTTCCTGAAATCCGAATTCAACCTACATTATGGTATATTGGTGACATAGTTAAACGGGCTTTAAAATCGGATAAAAATTTGTGACCTCTAGAGAATCCGCAAATTAAATATCACAATTTTTCGTACAATCAGGGGCCGTAATCCAGGAAGTTAAGATCTCATATGCTCAAATGGATTAAGACTAGTAATTATTTCCCCTTATTTCATGATGGACGAATGTAGTGCGAGTTATAAATAGACGATTTTTCCCTTAATTTTTTTCTCCCCTCTTCCTGCATTTTTGGGTTAACTTTTTGGTCTAGAATTGGAGAAAAGGGATCAGTTTTGGGTAATGCTGATGATATTACAGCGGAGGGATAGGGGGTGTAAAGTGTCTTTCTGCATCAAATGCCCGTAGCAAAAATTCTGAATGGTCAACCCCCTACAAAATTATGATGAGGAGATTGCCAGATGTTGTCCCCATTGTGCCTATAAAGATTGGAACCAACGGAATATTGAGCAAAACGCTATAGCCTGTGATGTTACAGCCATTTAACATTGAAGTTAATGGGCAAATAATTGCTAGTCGTAGTCCAAATAGCGATAGGAACTGAGATATTTGGGACATAAACATATATTCTAAGTTTCATCAAAATCAGAAAACAATTGTGACTTCTAGAGGGCCCATAACCTTGGTATGACATACTTTTACACTATCTGAGTACAAGTCAAGGAGCCATCATTTTGTCGGGCAGTTTTGGTCCAATTATTAGAGAGTAATGGTGATAAATTTAAACGTTTTTTTAAAATTGGATAAAAATTGTGACCTCTAGAGGGACCACAAGCTAAAACCATGATTTTTCATACAATCAGTGGCCACAATCCAGGAAGTTAAAGTCCAATATACGCAAATATCAAAAGGAACCACGATCTTTGGATTATAAACATACATTTCAAGTTTCATGAAAATCGGAAAAAAATTGTGACTTATAGAGTGTCGACAACCTTGGTATTACATACTTTTACACTATTTGTATACAAGGAGTGGCCATTTTTCTGACAGTTTCGGTCAGATTTTTACAAACTTCGAACTCAAAGTTCACTGATGTGTAGCAGTGATATATTCAAACGGTTTTTAAAATTGAATACAAATTGTGATTTCTAGCGGGCTCACAAGCTAAAAATGCGATTTTTCGACAATCAGGGACCATTATCCTAAAAGTTATGTTCAGATACAGTGTATGCGCGATTATCGAAAGGAACCAAGATCTTTGTGATATGAACATAAATTTAAAGTTTCATCAAAATCGGATAAAAATTGTGGCCTCTAGAGGGTCCACAACCTTAATGTACTATATTTTTACATTATTTGCATAAGAGGGGCTGTCATTTTGTCAGGCAGTTTTGGTCCGATTTTCACGAAATTTGAACCAAACCATCATTAGGGTGTATCGGTGATACATTCACACAGTCTTTTAAATTGGATAAAAATTGTGACCTCTAGCGGGACCACAAGCTAAAAACGCGATTTTACGTACAATCGGGGGTCATGATTCAGGAAGTTACGATCCGAATCCGATACAAAAATTGACACCTCTAGAGGGACCACAAGCTAAAAATGCCCTGATGCAGGAAGTTAATGATCCGATATGTGCGAATATGAAAAGGAATCCAACATCTTTGGGTTATAAACATGCATTTCAAGTTTTATCAAAATTGGATGAAAATTGTGACCTCTAGTGTGTCCACAAGCTAAAAACATGATTAGGCCTACAATCAGGGGCCATAATCTATGAAATTATGGTCCGATACATGCCAATTTTGAAATTTTGTAAAAATCAGATAAAAATTGTGACCTGTAGAGTGTCCACAAACAAATAGTTGACGGACGGACAGGGGCGACGACAACATACGTCCACATGAAAATGTGGGTGTATAAAAATCTATCAGCTATCAGATACATGTATTTCAGGTGGTAGATGTGTCATAGGAAGGGAAGGGCAGACATTTTCCAAGGAGGAAAGTAGTTAGAGTAAGTACATGTATAGCATCATATAATTTTTAAATTTTAAAAAGTTGATTTGTAGGCCTCATTTTGGTTTGATTAAATGTGTAAGAGATTCCAGCAAACCAACCCAATTTCCCCCCCCCCCCCACACAAAAAAATACGGCCTATTTGGCAAAAAATGGGTCCCATTTGCCTATCTAAACAAGGCTCAGATGGTGTGCTGCACTCCTCCAAAACCTCTGTTGTGCATCCCTGGTCATAGGTAATACATACAGAACAGTTGTTCGGGACCGGTGGGGGACATTTCCGGAATATTGCCCTGAATATTATTATATAGGGTTACAATGGGATTCAGTGGAAGAGAGAAAAGAAAAGTTTTGATTAGGTGGAGGCCTACAGGGCCAAATCACAGTAAAATCTTTGTAGTCCTGTGTTTTTTTGAAAAGTAAATGATAATAATCAAACTAGACCTATAAATACAAAGAAAATTGTTGACTTTTTAATACACATTATTTTTTCTGCCCATAGCCATAATAAACAAGGGCATCGCTACCGCTGCAATATATGTCCAAATTCCTGTTTTGATATCATACTTTTTCAAATGAAGAGAATGAAATATAAAATGGCTGCAATCAATGTAATATGACAAGAAGCAAAGAAGGCTAGGCGTTGGGTTTGTTTGGCCAAATTTACAGACTAAATATTAACAAAAAAGGCGGTGTGACACCACACCAAGGGGTTGGGGCATGCACCATAATAAATAGTTGCTGTCTTTATGGTATAAGGAATAAATATGCAAAGTTCCAAGATGATCCATTAAGAATTGTGGCCTGTAGACTATTGCGCATGGCTCTGCCCCTGGGGGT